TTTGATCTCTCTCTTTTTCTGTTTCTCCCTTTATTTTCATGTATAACTCTGCCTTTAAAATAAAATAGAAATAAAATTTTTAAAGGTGCTGGATCAGAAGTGGATCAACATGAACTGGCGTCCCTATAGGATGACAGCATCACAGGTAGTACATTCACATGCTATACCACAGTGATTAGATAGAGAGAGAGAGAGAGAGAGAGAGAGAGGGATGGTAGAACCTCTGGTTCACTCCCCAAATGGCTCCAACAGCAAAGTCTAGATGTCCCATGTGAGTGTGGGGGCTAAGTACATGAGAGTTTACTTAGGCCATCCTCTACTTCTTTCCAAGCTGTGTTAGCAGGGAGCTGAATTGCAAGTGGAGCAGCCAAGAAATGAACTTGAACCATGACATAGGATTTGGCATTACAGGCGGTGGCTGAGAGTATCAAGAAATCTGGATTTAGGGCCCAGCGTGGTAACCTAGCAGCTAAAGTCCTCCCCTTGAACGTGCCAGGTTCAATATGGACACCAGTTCTAATCCCAGCAGCTCCACTTCCCATCCAGCTCCCTGCCTGTGGCCTAGGAAAGCAGTTGAGGACGGCCCAAAGACTTGGGACTCTGTACCTGTGTGGGAGACCTGGAGGAGGCTCCAGGCTCCTGGCTTCAGATTGGCTCAGCTCTGGCTGTTGTGGCCGCTTGGGGAGTGAATAAACGGATGGAAGATCTTCCTTTCTGTCTCTCCTCCTCTCTGTATATCTGACTTTGCAATAAAAACAAATAAATTAATTAAAAAAAGAAACCTGGATTTTACAAATGTAGTAACAAAAAAAATATGTATTAGGGGAATATACTAATTATTCTGATTTAATTATTACAGTATTATATGCGTATATCAACATATTACATTATGCTCCATAGGCATGTTTAATGATTATGTATCAATAAAAAAATTAGAGGCAGATGTACACTGGGTGAGCTGTGCCTGGTACACTTGCATCTCATGTTGGAGTGCCTGTTTCCAGTCCTGGGTGCTCTGAAGTTCAGATCCAGCTTCCTTCTGATGTGCCAAGCAAAGCAGGGGATGATGGCCCAAGTAACCTGACTTTCATGACTTTCTGTAAGACCCAGTGGGAATCCTGGATTCAGGCTCAGCCTGACCCAGCCCTGGCTGCTGCAAGCATTCTGAATACCAATGGATGATTCATTCTCTCTCTCCCTTGCTCCTCCTTCCCTCCCCTTTTCATTTCTCTGTCACTCTACCTTTCTTGAAAAAAAAAAAAGATTTTTTTTTATTATTGCAAAGTCCAATATGCAGAGAGGAGGAGAGACAGAGAGGAAGATCTTCCAGCTGATGATTCACTCCCCAAACAGCCACAATGGCTGGAGCTGTGCCAATCTGAAGCCAGGAGCCAGGAGGCAGGAGCCTCTTCTGGGTCTGTGATGCAGATACAGGGTCCCAAGGCTTGGGCCCTTCTCGACTGCTTTCCCAGGCCACAAGCAGAGAGCTGTATGGGAAATGGGGCTGCCTGGATTAGAACCAGCACCCATATGGGATCCTGGAAGCACATTCAAGGTGAGGACTTTAGCCACTAGGCCACCGCACTGGGCCCGTCACTCTAGCTTTCAATTACAGGACCATTTGTTGTCATGCCATCCGTTGGGATGTTCACATCCCATTATCAGAATGCTAACTTCATTTCTGATTCTAGCTTCCTATTATTGTGCATCGCCTGGGAAGCAGCTGGTGATGGCTGAAGTGACTGGGTTCCTGCCTTCCACATGAGAGCCTGAGTTGAGTTCCTGATTCCTGGCTTTTACATCCCCCAGTCCTAGCCATTGTAGGCATGTGAGAGTAGACCAGTAGCTGGGAGCAGAGTTCTTTGTCTGTCCCTGTCTCTGCCTATCTCTCAAGTGGGTAAATAGTAAATAAATATAAATGGGGCTGGTGGTGTGGCACAGTGGGTTAAGCCATCAACTACAATATCAGCATCCCATATTGTTGTACTGGCTTTTCTGCTTTTGAGCCAATCCCTGCTGCTGTGCCTGGGAAAGCAGTGGGAGATGATCAAAGCACTTGAGCCCCTGCCACCCACATGGGAGACCCAGACTCCTGGCTTTGGCCTGGCCCAACCCTGATAATTGAGGTCATCTGGGGGAATCAACTAGCAGATGTCAATCTTTTTGTCTCTTCTGCTTTCTGTCATTCTACCTTTCAAATTAATAGAAATCTATAAGGAACTAGGAAGAGTTTTAGAGATGATACAAGCAAAACATTCAAAATGTGTTGTGTCCCTTTTTCTTTTGTTTAAAGATTTATTTAGGGCCCGGCATGGTAACCTAATGGCTAAAGTCCTTGCCTTGCAAGCACCAGGATCCCATATGGGTGCTAGTTCTAATCCCCGCTGTTCCACTTCTCATCCAGCTCCTTGCCTGTGGCCTGAGAAAGCAGTCAAAGACAGCCCAAAGCCTTGGGACCTTACACCCATGCAGGAGACCCAGAAGAAGTTTCTAGCTTCTGGCTTTGGATCGGCTCAGCTCCAGCCATTCCAGCTACTTGGGGAGTGGGCCAGTGAATGGAAATCTTTCCGTCTGTGTCTCCTTCTTTTTGTATATCTGACTTTACAGTAAAAAATAAAGAAACCTTTTAAAAAATGAAAACAGCAATGCTATTAATAAAAAAAGGTTTATTTAAACAAAATTTGTGTTGGTTGGAAACGCAGATTTACAGAGAAAAGGAAATACAGAAAGATCCTCCGTCTGCTGGTTCACTCCTCAAGTGACCACATCAGCCAAAGTTGAGTTGATCTAGTGCCAGGAGCCAGGAACTTCTTCCAGGCCTCCTACATGGGTGCAGGGGCCCAAGGACCTGGGTTGTTCTCTGCTGCTTTTCCAAGCCATAAGCAAGGTGCTGGATGAGAAGTGGAGCAGCTGGGACATGAACTGTGCGCATATAGATGAGTGCAAGGTGAAGATTCAGCCACTGGCCCATTGTGCCAGACTTCCGAAACAACTTTCATAAAACCATTGCATAGCCATCACCACTGCCATGTGTTTTGGGAGGAAACTAAAGTTGAAGAGCACAGGTCTAGGAGGAGGTAGACATTTTCTGGGCATTCATAAACACTGTTTATTTATGGAGAACCTTGGTTCTCAATCAAGTGCAGGGAGATGGTATTCTGGAGGCCAGAAAGGTGGAGTCCCAAGGTGAGAATGAGATGAGATAAATTCACTAGACAAGTGGAGAGGAGAAACCAAAAGACAAATGGAAGAGGAGTTGGAAAGATGGGATCCTGGGAAAGAAGGAAGTGGAGTTGGAGAGGAGAGATGGGAATCAAGTCTGTAGCCAGTTAACACTGCAAAGAATATGGGGAGGGAAGCATCAAGAAACAAAGCAGTAGGGAAGTTGCTCAGGACTTTGTGGAGCAGTCCCAGAGTTACGGTCCCCAGTGGAGGAAGAATGGAGAGGACAAAGGCCTCTCCTTCAAACATGAGCTGCACTCTGTAACTGGGCATCGTCATACCCAAAGCTGGTGCATGAGCATATCCGCAGAGGGCTTGGGATTACAAGAAAGTGCTCTGAGGGGCCTGCACTGTGGCACCATGGGTTGCCACCAACTACAATCCCATATTTGAGCTGTGTTGAGTCCTGGGTGCACTACTCCAGCTCCCTGCGAACGCACCTGTGAAAGCATTGGGTGCTATTCTGAGTACGTGAGCCTCTGCTACCCACGTGAGAGATACAGATGAAGTTCCTGGCTCCCATTCGCTAGTTTGCTCCCCCAAATGCCTGCAATAACAGGGTTAGGTCAGGACCAAAGATAGAAGCTGTGAATTCAGTCCTGGTCTCCCATGTGATGGTCAGTAAGACTTCAATGACTTACACTATCATCATCATCTCGTAAGAATGGCATTAGCAGGAAACCGGAGGCAGGCAGCAGAGCTGAGCACAAACTCAGGTACTGTGGTGTAGGAAGTAGGTATCTGAAATGCCAGTGCCAAGCTAAACATCACCCCCTGCCGCCCGCCACTGTGGGACTGTTTTTTTTTTTAACCCCCTGTGATCCAGTATGTATCCAGGATTGGAGAACAATGCTCCAGCCGAATCCTGTCCCATTCTCTAACCTTTCAGTGCCTTTCAAGTGGCATGTTCTTGGTGAGGCTTTTGTAGTTTGATTCCCATCACACTTCTGCTGAAGACCTGCCATGCTTACACTCAGGAAACATGAAACTTGTCCTCCTCCAAGTGCCGTCCCTGATTTAGCACCTTGAAGACATGGTTCAGTCCTGTCCCAGACATAGCCAGCTCATTCAAGTGTTAGCAAAGAGGGAGCAATGGGAGACCTAGGCCTTCAGAGGAGGAGGAAGCACTCTCCACAGGCACATGGGGAAACTGCTTCTTCTCCCTTGTGGAATACCACGATGGCACGTGGATGAAGGAAATATTAATAACCTTCCTAAAGATACACTTCTCCAACATTTGGTGTTTCACAGACCACAGCCAGTGCTGTCACTTCTACAGATGGCCAACTTCTGCATTTTGGATGACAGCCTCTGAAGATAGCTCCTTTTGCATCCTTAAAGCAGAAGGTACAGCTATGAGGAAGGAAATTATCTGAGCACTAAGCCAGAGGTCAAAAGCTTCTACCCACATGGTGGTTAGGAACAAGAAAACTAACCACCAGCCAAAGCCATCAGAGGCAACAACTCTTGGAGTTAAAGTAGATAACCCTGCAGCATTATCTCAGCCAGGGCTTGAATGGCACTGAGTGGGGCAAGCCCTAGACAGGAGTCCTGGCCTGGCCCTGCCACCTGCTTGTTGGAAGGCTTTGGGCTGATACTTTTTTGGCAAGGGCTTGACTTCCTTCTTTGGAAAACGTGAGGCTAGAGACTGAGGACAGAACCTTCCCTTGACTTCTTACAAGTCTGCCTTCCCAGAGCAGCAGTGCACAGTCAAGTTCACAAACAAATGGACAACAACACTCTGTCACCAACAGTTGTTCTTCGTCATCTTCCTCCAGGTGTCTGCAAGCTGTGACTTCCATAGCTCAGAGTGTAGCTGCAAAGACCTCCCCCAGGGCGGCTTAGATGAAGAGAATGAAAGCATCTGGCTTTCTACCCCAAGGTTCCCATAATGAAGAGCCACCTGCCAGGTATACTCTCTCACAATTCTGGGGACCAGGAGCCTGAAATCAGGATGTAAGGAGAGACAGCTCAGGGTGGGTGGGGTGAGAGTGGGGAATAATTTCTGTCTGCAGCTTCTGATGGCCCCCGACATCTTTGACTTGTTGTAGCTGCGTCGCTGGGATCTCTATGTCCGGTCTTCTCACTGCTGCTTTTGTCTCCACATCCTTTAGAGATCCATGCGATCTGGAATCCACCCAGATCATCCAGGACGGTCTCAACCTCCAGGAATTTGGGCCCAGTGTTTAGTGGCTAAATCCTTGCTTTATAACCATCAGGATCCCATTTGGGTGACTGGTTTGTGTTCCAGCTGCTCCATTTCCCACCCAGCTTCCTGCCTGTGGCCTGGGAAAGCAGTAGAGGATGGCACAGTCTTGGCACCCATGTGGAAGTCCCTGAAGAAGCTCTTGCCTCCTGGCTTTGGATTGGCTCAGCCCCAGTTGTTGTGGCCACTTGGAGAGTAAACCAGTGGACAGAAGATCTTTCTCTCTGTCTCTCCTCTCTAAAAAAAATCCACCTCTCCAATAGAAATAAATTTTTAAGAAACAAAGACAACAACAAAAAAACAAAAACAGCCTTTAGGAATTTGAATTCAACTTATGTTTCTGGGAAGACACATTTCAACATAATACAGCCTCCAAATGGAGAAGGATGGGGGGTACAAAATTGTCCCCTTGTTTAAGGCCCAGGGCAGGTGCTTCCTGGTCTAGAAGACCTCATCCCTACACACCACACTGGTATCATCTCCACCAGGCTGTCTAGTCTCTCCTATTCTGTGTCTTCTTCCCTTACCTCTAGAATCATCCAAGCTATTAACAATGCCAATCTCTGCCCTTGATGTGCCAGCCTCCACCATAAATGCTGTCACTGAGTCAGGCTTTCTGGGGACAGGGCACAGGAGGGTACATTTCCAGTCATCTCCCTGGGCATTTGTGATGTACCTGTAGTGTGAGCTCCTAGATGCATGCTGTGATTATCTGGGCTCTCTGTCTTTAGCTGTCTTACATTTAAGTGTGTGGTTTTGAAGACAGAATGCCTGAGTTCCATTCCCAACCCAATGCAAGCTCTGCCATCCACCTGAAGCCTGTGTGGCTTCAGCCTGTTACTTGGACATCCCGAGTTGTCACTGCTTTGCCTGGGGATCACTCACACACTTCACTGGAGTGTGTGAGATTAAATACAGCGAGAACAGTACTTGCTACAGGGTAGGCACACAGTAGATTAGCAGAGCAGGTGGGCTATGTGAGAGTATTTTAAAAAATGTGTGGAAAATGAATTCGGAGAAAAGCTCAGGGGCAGGCATTCAGCCCCACAGTTAAATATCCTGCATTGTAGTGCCTCAATTCAAGTCCCAGTTCCAGGTTCCTATTAATGCAAACTCTGGAAGGCAGCAGTGATGGCTTATGTAAAATGGGTCATGACCACTCACATGGGAAGCCTGGATTGAGTTTCCAGCTCCCATTTTCTGGTGCTTTTTCTTTCTGTCTCTCAGTCTGTACCCCTGTGTCTCTGTCCTCTCAAATTAAAATAAAAGATGGGGCTGGCATGGTTGTAGTAGGCTAATCCTCTGCCTGTGGCACCAGCAACCCATATGAGCACTGGTTCGAGTTCCAGCTGCTCCATTTTTGATCCAGCAACCTGATAATGGCCTGGGAAAGCAGTGGGAGAATGGCCCCAGGCCTTGGGCCCTTGCACCCATGTCGTAGAGCTAGAAGAAGCTCTTGGCTGCTAGCTTCGGATCAGTCTAACTCTGGTTATGGCCATTTGGGGAGTGAACCAGCAGGTGGAATTTATCTCTGTCTCCATGTCTCTCCTTCTCTCTCTGTGTAACTTTTTTAGGTAAAACAAGTAAATCTTTTTTTAAAAGAAATATTGTTCATAATACACATTTTCCATAATTTTTGTGGAGACCTATTCTCCTGGATCTTTCCTTTCCAGGAACATGTACTGGCCTTTGCATCCAGTATTGCCAACACTGATTGGATCTTTTTCTCTTCCAGGTTTCCATGCTAAGCTCAGTCCATGCTCTCTCTCATTTCCTCTTTGCCACCATGACTTTAGGTTTCTAGTGTCATCTCTCATTTTATGCATGGGGAAGCTGAGTGTCCAACAGGTAAAATAACTTGTCCAAAGTCCTACAGCCAGGGAATGACAAGCAGGATGTGGAGTTCACCAGTGCCATGTTGTGCCCTGCCCATCCTTATCACCTTGGAACCATTCCTGAACCTTCACAGACCCAGCCAGCTCTCTGAGCCAATCCCTGAACCTCGTCTTTTAGCTTCTTTGTATTCCATCTTTGCATATTCATTCCAACTGTGTTTCTTAATTGCTGGCTTGGTCTGAGTGCTCTGAAAATGTGCTTTCCTCAGAGGAGTTGAGCCAGACTGTGTTCTCTGCCACCTTCTGGTGATACCTTTACCTCCTACACCTGTCCTGAAGGTCTGTCCAACCCAGTTCTCCCAGTCAGCATCTCCCGCAGGCCCTAGGGACCCCTGTGTCAGTTGAGAATTTTTCCCCATTCACCCTTCTTCCTTGCCTATCCCTGTAGCTCCTTCTGGCGGTAGAAAACGTGTAGGCCTAGAAACTAAGGGAGCCAGCTCTTGAAATGCCACCACCACTATCCCAGACATCACAGGCTTCTTGGCCTCTCTTAATCCTTTTCCCAAGCCCTGGCCAAGGCAGGATGGTGTCTCATGCTGCCTCACTCCTCATCGCTGGCCCAGGGCATGGTGTGTACCATCAGACACACAGGCCTTATCACTGTGCAAACACTTCCTCTTTTCCCAGTACCTGTTCTCACCCAATTGGTAATCAGAGTAAACATCCTCTGACAATTTAGTGAGCAAACATTTACTATGCAACCACCTTCAGGAAGGTTCTGTGCTAAGGATTGTTGGGAATCCAAACCTGATCTGTGTCTCCAGGAGCCTCAAGGTAGAGGTGAAGCACACAACTGAATGCTGTCAGATGCCAGCATGTGCCTTGTGGCTGACCATACATGTGTTCTAACCTCAGTTACATTCTTCACTCACTGTCTTACTTGGAGCAAGTTACTCACCCTGTCTGAGTTTGATCCTCTATGACTGTGCCGTGAGATTAATGCTGTCTAGGTTTGTTTTAGAAACTGCAAGAGCCAAGGGTAGAAGTGGAAATGTTACAGATGGAGCAGGAATTGATTCGCCAGACATGCAGAGATTTAAACCCCAAAGTCTTCTGTTTACTCTTAGTGGGTTAATGCTACTGGTTAATGGACTAGGATGGAAGCTTGATAGAATTATGATGTCCAAAGGTGGGGCTTTTGGGAAAGGATCAGATTGGATGAAGTTACCAGGGTGGATCCCCAGGGTCATATAATAACATTATAAGGAGAAGCTAGATGAGGGTAGAAGCAGAGCATACTCCCTGTCTGTCTCTGCTTCCTGTGCCTTCTTGTTTGCCACTGACACTTTCTCCACCATCTTCCTGCCCCCATCAAACGCATGAGCCTATAGCACTACCTGACATGCACTAGGAGACTCCAAACTGGGAGCCAAGATGAGCCTTCTTCCCTCTTGAGCTGCTTCTGTCAGAGATGCTGGATGTGGTAATTAAAGGTTGAGTGAGGCACAGGCCCAGTTTTCCGGTGGAAATACCACAGGGTCAGCCAATCAGTAAACAAGGATGCATGAAAAAACCAATGTTTTTGGTGGAGAATACTAACAAAGTAGGAAATATAGGTACTTGGTTTAACTGGGACAAGTGGGCGGTGGTGCTGGCTAGTCAGACTCTGTCGATCTCTCAATAACAACATTATGGGATAAGTGGGTTTCCCACATGGGCATAACTCATAAAGGGGAGATGAGTGTGGACCTGGAGTGTTTGGGACATTTCTTCCTGTGGAGAACTCAGCATGTGAAGTCATAGCAATCTGGAAAAACAGTGATTGACTTCTCAAAGCAAGTGACCCAGATTGACCACTTCTCAACCTACAAGTCTGATTTTACAGCTATTTTGTGATCTGACCTGGGTTTGTGGGAAGCACAAGAAAAAATGGGAGAGAAGGGCTAGAAGGAGCTGGGCAATGGTAGAATGCATTGGGACAGGTGCAGGGGGAGATGGTTATGGTTGGGGCAGGAATCAGAGCCAGCACAAGTCATTCTCTCCTGGCCTCATATGTGGTGTTATGGACAAAGAGATGATGCTGATTATCCTTCCGTTGACTAAAGATTCAAGAGAAGGACACTAAGAAAGGAACAGAGTGCTGTGATGGCAGGTGTGATTCTGTCTGGTAGGAGGCCCACCTTGATGTTCATCAGGCCCTCAGTGCTGACTAGCTGTGACCTTGGTCAACTTACATGACCTCTGTGGGCCTTAGTTTCCTAATCTCTAAAGGAGAACAAGACACCTGACTTATAGAAGAGGAATGTAAATTATGTGTAACAGAGCCCGTGGAAGGTAGGCAAGCGGACTCCCTGCCCCATCTTGCGCTTTTAGGAATGTTCCAGAAATACAGGGATGACTATGTTTAGTGCCTGGCTCCCTCCTTCACCAACTCATGGTTAAATTGGAATGAGACTATTTATGTGCAAATCCCTAAAGCTCAGAAAGTCCATGGTCAAGTGGAAGATAAAGGCATCATCACTTACCTCCAACACATTGGTTGGTTGCTGTCTCTGCACTCTGAGTGGCACATGCCAGTGTCCCTGGGTATTAAAACCCACTAAATGGGCCCTACCACAAGAAATGAAAAGAACCTGGCAACTCCTCCCTTCCCTACCCAGGGTTCTTGCACTCCCATTTACTGGGATTCGCCTCCGGTAATGGTGGATGTGGGGATGGAGGTGGAGGAAAAGGTTACATGTGGATGTACAGGGTGAATGTTCAGGGGAGCTACATGGATGCCATTTCAGGCCGCTGGGGAAAGGGCCCTGTACTAATGGAGTGGCCGAATGTCTGAGGCAGCAGTAAGAGGATTCACCTAGACACGATA